GGATACTCTTACCTGTATTTACCCAGATGGTAGCATAGTATATACAATGTCCTATGTCTTGCTTTTTTGAGCTAAAATTATATATCATTATATATCATTAAGATCACTACATATGTGTTCTAGCTATCACTATCTAGCAAATCACTGCAAAACTCAGTGGCTTAGAATAAGATTTAAAATTGTTTAATTATCTGAGGTTTGCCTGGGATCAGCTAAAAACATTCTCATTTATGGTCTCTCATTCAGGTTTGGTCAGACAGTATCTGGTGCTGTAGTCATCACAAGCCTTGCTCACTCCTGTATCTCGCAGTTGATACTGGCTGTTGCATAGAACCAGATTACCTACAGCTGGAACACCTATAAATGACCTCACCAAATGTGTCTCCATTTTATCCACATCCTCACAGTGTAATGATGACTAGGTTCTAAGAATAAGTGTCCCAAGAAAGGAGTAGGTAGAAATCATTACTTTTTATGACCTTTCCTCAGAAATGATATAGCATCACTTTTGCCTAAATCATGGGCATGTCTGGGTATGAGGGGAGGGAATGCAGATCCCACCTCTTGACAGAAGGATTATGGGAGTCACATTGTAAGAAGAGCATTGGGTGAAAAATTGTTGTAGCCATTTGGGAAAATACCATCTGCCTCAATCTACACCTACCTACTTCCTTAATAGTTGTATAGCATTCTATTATTTAAGTATGTCATAATTTATTTAACCAGTCTTCTATTGACTGTCATAAATAATACTACAGCACACATTTCACATGTGTGGAAGGAATTTATCCCACAGATAAGCCTGAAATGGAATTGATGTATTAAAAAATGTAAGTGTTGTTCAAGTGTACAACTGATTGGCTTTTTTTTTTTTTTTTTTTTTTTTTTTTGACAGGCAGAGTGGACAGTGAGAGAGAGAGACAGAGAGAGAAAGGTCTTCCTTTTTGCCGTTGGTTCACCCTCCAATGGCCGCCGCTGCAGCCGGCGCACCGCGCTGATCCTGGCAGGAGCCAGGAGCCAGGTGCTTTTTCCTGGTCTCCCATGGGGTGCAGGGCCCAAGCACCTGGGCCATCCTCCACTGCACTCCCTGGCCATAGCAGAGAGCTGGCCTGGAAGAGGGGCAACCGGGACAGAATCCGGCGCCCCAACCGGGACTCGAACCCGGTGTGCCGGCGCCGCAAGGTGGAGGATTAGCCTATTGAGCCACGGCGCCGGCCCTGATTGGCTTTTAATACATTCACAGTTTTATGAATCCTTCACTATGCATTTTAGAATATCTTCATTACCCCAAAAAGAAACCCACTCTCCTTATCCATCAACCCCAATCCCTTCAACCCTCTAGCCTTACACAACACTAATCTTTCTCTCTATAGATCTGCCCATTTTGGACACTTTATATTAATGGAGTCACTTCTTTCATTTAACAAAATATTTTCTGTTTAGTGATTTATTTTTTCCATGTTTTAATTTTCACATTAAGTAATTTTTAATATTTTCCCTATTCATATCATGGGTAAATATTATATGCATGCACATATAATCATTGTCATAAATCCCACATTTTGTGATATTACTGTTTTCCAATTTTTACTTACTTATTCAAGAGACAGAGAAAGAGACAGGGTATAGAGTAAGAGAGAGAGCTTCCATTCTCTGGTTCACTTCCCAGATGCCTGGAAAAGCCAAGACTGGGATGAGCCAAGGTCCAGGGTCAGAAATTCAGTTCGGGTCTCCTATGTAGATGGCAGGAGCCCAGTTACTTGAACCATTCCTGCTGAACCATTAAGTCAAATGCCCACCCCAGCATAGTATTTTCAAATTCTATCTATGTTGTAGTATGTATCAGTACTTCATTTCTTTAATTGCCAAATACTATCACCTGCATATTTATACCACATTTTATTTATCCATTCTTCAGTTTATGGACATTTGAGTTTTTAGCACTTTCTGGCTATTACATATAATGTTGTGTAAGCATTATACATAGACATGAATAATATATATCATGGACAATATGTTTTCATTTCTCTTGAGTATATAACTAGGAGTAGAAATTCTAGATGATATGGTAACTCAATGGTTAATCATTTTAGAAACTATCAAGCTATTTCTTGCTTTTTTTTTTAAATTCTCTCCTTGTATATTTTTTAAAAAAGATTTATTTATTTATTTGAAAGTCAGAGTTACACAGAGAGAGGAGAGGCAGAGATAGAGGTCTTTCATCCGTTGGTTCACTCCCCAGATGGCCGCAACTGGACAGAGCTGCACTGATCTGAAGCCAGGAGCCAGGAGCCAGGAGCTTCTTCTGGGTCTCCCACGCGGGTGCAGGGGCCCAAGGACTTGGACCATCTTCTACTGCTTTCCCAGGCCATAGCAGAGAGCTGGATCAGAAGAGGAGTAGCCGGGACTAGAACCGGTGCCCATATGGGTGCCGGCACTGCAGGCCAGGGTGTTAACCTGCTGCGCCACAGCACCAGCCTTCTGCTGTTTTAAATAAATATTTGTAAATAGTCCCCTACATGGAATATCTCAATTTTCACTCACAAAGTTATATAGTGAGAGTACTTGTTTTCCCAAAGCCTTGATTAATGAAATTTAATCAATCTGTGGAACTTTCTGACAACCTGTTCTATGGATTCCCATATATGTTGCATTGTTAAAAAGTCCTCTTAGGGAGCCGGCGCTGTGGCTCACTTGGTTAATCCTCCGCCTGTGGTGCCGGCATCCCATATGGGCGCCAGGTTCTAGCCCCGGCTGCTCCTCTTACAGTCCAACTCTCTACTGTGGCCCAGGAGGGCAATGGAGGATGGCCCAGGTGCTTGGGCCCCTGCACCCACCTGGGAGACCAAGAAGAAGCGCCTGGCTCCTGGCTTCCTATTCCTACAGTGCCGGCCGTGGTAGCCATTTGGGGAGTGAACCAACGGAAGGAAAACCTTTCTCTCTGTCTCTCCCTCTCATTGTCTATAACTCTACCTGTCAAATAAAAAAAATTTTTTTAAAGAATTTTAATAAAAGTCCTCTTAGGAGCCAGCGCTGTGGCTTAGCAGGTGGAGCCACCTCCTGCAGTGCCAGCATCCCATGTGGGTGCCGCTTGGAGACCCGGCTGCTCTACTTACGATTCAGCTCTCTGCTATGACCTGGTAGGCAATGGAGGATGGCCCGGATGCTTGGGCCCCAGCACCTCAGTGGGAGACCTGGAGGAGCTCCTGGCCTGTGGCTTCCAATCGGCCCACCTTCGGCCATTGTGGCCATTTGGGGAGTGAACTAGTGGATGGAGGACTTCTCTCTCTGCCTCTGCCTCTCTGTAACTCTGCCTTTCAAATAAATAAATAAATCTTTTTTAAAAAAGTCCTCTTAACTCCAAAGTTATAAACTAATTCTCTCATGTTTTTTTTCCAGTACCTTTACCTTTAGGTGGTTTACACATTTGGAATTGCAGTGTATACAATATAAGGCACAGATTCACCTTTTTCCAGATGGCTGCTTGATTGTCTTTCTTTTAAAAAGATTTATTTATTTATTTATTTATTTATTTATTTATTTGGAAGGCATAGTTACAGAGATGTAGGGAGAGGCAGAGAGAGATCTTCCATCTGCTGGTTCACTCCCCAGATGGTTGCAACACCCAGGACTGAGCAAGGCCAAAAACAGGAGCCTGGAACTTCTTCCTGGTCTCTCATGTGGGTGGCATGGGTCCAGACACTTGGACCATCTTCCTCTGCTTTTTCCAGGAATTAGCAAGGAGTTGGATCAGAAGGGGAGCAGCTGGAACACAAAACCAGCACCCATATGGGATGCCAGCATCACAGGAAGAGGCTTTATCAGCTATGCCTCATTGTTGGCCCCTTACTTGATTGTCTTAAAATCATTTAATAAATAATCTACTCTCATCATATATTAAATTCCCAATTTCATAAGCCTTTGTGTACCTTTTTAACACATTGTAGTTGAACTTGTAATAATTTTTATAGCAATAATGTTTATGCACCCTTCTAAAATAAACATACATTCTTCTAATTTCTTCATTAGTTTCTGAAGTGTAGCATACTTTCTACATTGGCAGTAGTTATCTTTTGTCTTTAATATCAGCTGATTGAAGCCTTTGGAGAGTATAAAAGAATGCATTTTATTAAAGCACAGCTGAAACAGACTTTTTCTTGCCTATGTATTTATTTGGCTTGCAGAGTGTTAATCATGGTTTTATCAGGATTCTTTTTTTTAATTGATTTATTTGACAGGTAGAGTTAGAGAGAGAGACAGAGAGAAAAGTCTTCCTTCCATTGGTTCACCCCCCAAATGGCTGCTATGGCCAGAGCTATGCAGATCCAAAGCCAGGAGCCAGGTGCTTCCTCCTGGTCTCCCATGCAGGTGCAGGGCCCAAGCACTTGGGTCATCCTCCACTGCCCTCCCAGGCCACAGCAGAGAGCTGGACTGGAAGAAGAGCAACCGGGACTAGAACCCGGCCCCCATATGGGATGTTGGCACCACAGGTGGAGGATTAACCAAGTGAGCCACAGCGCCAGCCCCCATCAGGATTCTTAATAAATAATACTAGTTTCCAAATGAGAAAGTCCTACCAAAAATAGGTATATCCATTTTAACATTGAAACTTTTTTTTTTGACAGGCAGAGCGGAGAGTGAGAGAGAGAGATAGGGAGAAAGGTCTTCCTTTGCCGTTGGTTCACCCTCCAATGGCCGCTGCGGCCGGCGCGCTGTGGCCGGTGTACCGCGCCTATCCGAAGGCAGGAGCCAGGTGCTTCTCCTGGTCTCCCATGGGGTGCAGGGCCCAAGGACTTGGGCCATCCTCCACTGCACTCCCTGGCCACAGCAGAGAGCTGGCCTGGAAGAGGGGCAACCGGGACAGAATCCGGTGCCCCGACTGGGACTAGAACCCGGTGTGCCGGTGCCGCAAGGCAGAGGATTAGCCTAGTGAGCCGCGGCGCCGGCAACATTGAAACATTAACATTATACTTAATGTAGTCCTGTCTTTAAAATTCCAGAGGACCTGACTGGGATACTGAATTATATGAAGAAGGGAGTGCTACAGTCAGAGAGCTTCTTACTGAACTATATGGCAAAGTTGGAAAAATTCGTCACTGGGGCCTGATCCGATACATCTCTGGGATCTTAAGGAAGAAGGTGGAAGCACTCGATGAGGTACTAACAGTTCTTGAATTTATACTAAATCTAAGCGGAGGTGCTTTTAAAAGTTAGTTTCTGTAATTTTTTTATGGCAACTGTAGCCTCTAATCTTTTGAAGTGTTGATTTTCCTATGTGAAGTTTCATCATTTAGTTTTGTTTGTAAATAATAAGTATACATTACTGAACTCTAAGAATTGTAGACATATAGAGATATTATAAACCATAACAGCTTTAGATCTTCAGAATAAATTTACATTAGACTAAAAGTTCATGCCTTCTAGAAGATGCAAACTCATTGTTCCTTCCTAGAAACCACTCTTTTCTGACTTTCATGGTAGTGCCTGAGGAAGAGTTTGGTGTGTCATTAAGTTAGGAGAAAGTAAAGGTTTCCAGGCTGAGAACAGAAATGTTCATGGAAATACGAAGTGTTGTGGAAAGAATAATGTTATACTATGTTATGTTACCTCTTCTTAGGCCTGCACAGACCTTCTGTCCCACCAGAAACATTTGACAGTGGGACTCCCTCCAGAGCCTCGAGAAAAGACCATCTCTGCGTAAGTATGGTGTTGTTTGGGTTTCATCAAGCTTCTCTTAGCCTCTAAGTTGCCATTTGGGCTTGTCATAATTCTCACGCCCTTATCTGCCTATGGATGACAGTGTCCTCTACATGCACACTTGTATCAGAGACACCAGGGAGAATGCCGTTAATGGCAGGGCACAAGTAAATCGAAGTGGAAACTCACAAGGAGTAGCGCTCAATTTTTTTTTTTTTTTTTTACTTACTGGCTTTCCCAAATTTCCCATTCCAAAAACAAAACAAAGCAAAGAACAAAATAACCAGAACACCAGGAATTACACCCACAAAAAATTCAGCCAGACTTTAAAGAGGGCAAGAAAGTGTGTGGCTGGAGCACAGGGCTGATGATGAAACTCCATACTGCTCAAGAAGGAATAAAAGGGTGCAAGTCATATTCAAAGGAGAAGAATGGGCACTTGCAAGCCTAGTGAGTGAGGTAACACCCTTGCAAGAACACTATAATCAGATCGCTACTGTCTGAGTTCTGCCCCAGCTTCTAAATGGAGAAAGTGCCCTAGGATAGGGTGGGGGTGCAGCTGGTGGGAAGTTGAGTGACAGGCTGGGATGGAACATTTCTTACTCATGGATCTTCCTTTTGCCATTAGCCATGCCAATATAACTCATCTACACTAAATCTGTTTAATTTCATGTCATGCCAGTGCTAAAACTTAAATCTGCAAGCAGACTATTCTTGTATTTCCAAGAAGTATTTTTAGAGGAAGTCTGACTTCATTCATAAGTGATCTGAAAAATCTGTATTTCGGCTAGGGAATAATTTGAAACAAGATATTCTCCCTGCCTGCCAGTTCTACTTCTGTAGCCAGTGTAGTGAAGAATTTATTTTGTAAACACAAGATGTTCTAGATATAGAGTTTAATCAGGAAAAAGAAATGAGGGAGAAGTAAGCAGAAATATCTTTGCTGATGCTTGTATGCTATCTCCTTGGTTTACATTCATGACTTGTGTTGCTTCTAAGATTCTGTATTAAAGCTTAGAGAGACATGTCCTAGAGCATTTGCCATGCATTCCATGTGTAAGACCAAGTTAAGGTTTCATGAAAATAGTACTAACTTTGCGTGTTACTTTGCTTAAGCTGCCATAACAGACTACCACCGACTAGATGATTCAAACAACAGAAATTTATCTTCTAGCAGTTGTAGAGGCTACAAGTCCAAATCAGGATATCAGCAGGGTTAGTTCCTTCTGAAGGCTGTGAGGGGAATGGTTCCAGGCCTCCCTTCTTGGTTTGTACATGGCCATCTTTTATGTCACCTTGCATTTCTTCCCTCTATGTATGTCTCTGATTCCAAATTCTCCCTTTTTATAGGTACCTCAATCACATCAGAATAGGGCCGGTCCTGATGACTTAAGTTTAACTTAATTACCTTTATAAAGACCCCATCTCCAAATAAAGTCACACTGTGACATACTGAGGGTTAGAATTTCTTTTTTTTCTTTTTTCTTTTTTCTTTTTTCTTTTTGACAGGCAGAGTTAGACAGTCAGAGAGAGAGAGAGAGAGAGAGAGAGAGAGAGAGAGAAAGGTCTTCCTTCCGTTGGTTCACCCCCCAAGTGGCCACCACGGCTGGTGCACTGCGCTGATCTGAAGCCAGGAGCCAGGTGCTTCTCCTGGTCTCCCATGCGGGTGCAGGGCCCGAGCACTTGGGCCATCCTTCACTGCCTTCCCGGGCCACAGCAGAGAGCTGGACTGGAAGAGGAGCAACTGGGACAGAACCAGCGCCCCAACCGGGACTAGAACCTGGGTTGCCGGTGCTGCAGGCGGAGGATTAGCCTAGTGAGCTGCGGCGCCGGCCAAGGGTTGGGATTTCAACCTATGTGGCATGGTCCACAGTCCCAGGGTACTTTATGTCAATGATAGTCAGAAGTGGAACAATGTGTACAAACATGTGTGTGTACTGATAAAACTAGAAAATCAATGTAACTCTAAAGTCATAAAATGGCTTCCAAAAAGCCTAGTTTATTACTTTGTAACTGTTAGCGTTAACTGACAAATGTTAAAAGAACTAACCACGGAAGAATAGTTTGAAAAGACATCATGGACTAAATTTTAAATAAAATTTTGGAGGAGGACAATCCAGGTTTAGTCAGGAGAGAGAAGCGCTCTTCTGAGTTAATGTGGGCCAGACTGGTTTGGCGGGGGCAATGACTGGGCCTTGGAGACTGCAAGAACCAAAATACCACTGGTAATGAAGAGATGTTGTGGCAGTGACTTAAACTTTGGAAGAGCTTTAAAATTTTTCCAATGTATTATGTATAAGTGGTTGCAGAGTGTTTCTTTCTTTCTTTCTTTCTTTCTTTTAATCTCTTTTCACTGTCATCTTCCTCAGACCTCTCCCCTATGAGGCACTCACTCGGCTGATAGAGGAAGCTTGTGAAGGGGACATGAACATTTCAATCCTTACACAGGTGAGCAGAACTATAAAGCCTAATCTGCTGGTTGATAGCTTTAAAGGTTGTTTTCAATTGATCTGGCAATTTGCAAAGACAACAAAATAGGTACTGGGAGACTGGCACCATAATTTTTTGTCTAAATCCATTTCATTCCCAGGAAATAATGGTATATCTAGCCATGTATATGAGAACTCAGCCTGGTCTCTTTGCTGAAATGTTTCGACTTCGAATTGGTCTGATCATACAAGTTATGGCAACAGAACTGGCCCACTCCCTTCGATGCTCAGGTACTTAATTCCTTAACTATTTCACATGGAATTCACTTTAATGAAAGTCTGTGGAGTTTGAGATACAGGGGAAAAGAAAGCTAACACATTAGTATCCATAGCTCAGACGCTGCATATGGCAATCTTGCTCCCATGTTTATCAGTTAATATGTAAGTCAAGAGACTGATATTGGTGACACATTTGTGTATTAGTCCTGCTACTTCCAAATGCTGCCTCTTGGGGGCTCTGCACTCCCAGTTCTTCCTAACTGCTCTTCATTTCTCTGAACTACGCAAGTGTCCTGATTTGTTCAGCAGAGCTTCTGGACAAAAACTGAGTCACTACATCAATGGATCATATTGTTGGCATTTTATCTAATTAACATCACAATCAAAGGAAGACAATATCTTATTAAAATTTATCTGACAAGACTCTGAAATCAGTTTTAGGTACATTTGGCAAGATAACTTTTAGAAGAATAGTTGAGGCCTTTGGAATCTGATATTTGTCTTATTTCAATAATAATGCAAAATAATTGAAATAGTGATGGCACAGAAAAATAAAATCACAATTGCAAAACTCAATTCTAGTGATCATTTCAGTTAGATTTTCCCCAAAAAGGTTTTCAGTTGAGCTGTTAACCAGTAGCTAAATATATTGCTTTGAGTCAAATCTAAATCAAACACAGATCATTTATATTTAAGTAACCCTTTGAAGGAAGGGTTAGCAATTGCTTTATAGCTAGCAGTTGTTTTATAGCTATTACATTGCCAGACGCTGTGTGACTTTTTCTTTATATGAGTGTTTAGATAGAGAAATTGTTTCTACTCCTTACAGCAACCCCCCCACACACACTTTTTTTTTTTTTTTGGATACTGCTATTGTTTATTACAACAGCTTAGCCTGGCTTACCTAGTTTCCCAAACATGGACAAAAATATGGAGTTGGGTCCCTTTAGGAATTTTTTTAAAGTAATGAATTTTTAACAGATTGGATATACTTTGTAGATATAGTTCTAAGAATATGATATTCCCTTCCTCCCTCCCTCCTCCTTCTCTCTTTCCCACCCATGCTCCCTCTCCCTTTCTTATTTTAGTTTTTGAGATAATATTTTAAATTTACATTACAGTAAAAAGGCTTATTGCTTCACCAAACAAGAAGTTTAACGAGTAAAAAGCAAAAAGACCCTAGTTTAGTGGAATTATAGACATTAGAGCAGTGCTTTATAGAAGGTATTATTGTCCCACTTTTACTAATAAGGAAACTGAAACTCAGAGAGATTAAGTAACTTGCACAAAGAAACAGAACTAGTAAATAATGGAATTTGAATACAAGTGTGTCTGATACAAAATATTTCTAGTTCAGCACACTGTTAAACATAAAAGTATGCAGATACTTCAAAAAAGTTCATGGAAAGTGAAATTGAAATGGGGTAGGCATTTGTCCAAATAGTTAAGATGCTGATTAAGATGTCCTGGTCCCCCCTCCTGGGAATTTACCCAAAGGAAATGAAGTCAGAATATGAAAGAGTTACTTTTACCCCCATGTTTATAGCAGCTCAATTCACAATAGCTAAGATATGGAGTCAACCCAGATATGCATCAACTGATGACTCGATAAAGAAAATATATATATACATGATGGAATACTACTCAGACATTAAAAAAACAGTAAAATCCTGTCTTTTGCAACAAATGGATGCAACTGGAGACCATTATGCTTAGTAAAATAGGTCAGACCTAAAAATACAAATATCATGTTTACACTGATTTGTGGTAGCTAATATATAGAGTACAAAAAAAAAAACCCTTCATATATATAAGTGAAATTGACATCTTGGGATTTGAATATTGTTTATAACCCTTGTCTATATTCCTGTTGAACAGTGGTCTTTCTAATTTTAATTTGTTGAACTTTTTATTTAGTGGAGCATTAACCCTGTGATTATAAAGTAAATTAAAAATATTGCAAAAGTTTAAAAAGGAAAAAAAAGAAAGGAAGGAGTAGGAAGGGAGGGAACTATCATTATACTCTTAGAATTATATTTATGGGGGCTGGCGCCGTGGCTCACTTGGTTAATCCTCTGCCTTGCGGCGCTGGCATCCCATATAGACGCCGGGTTCTAGTCCCGGTTGTTCCTCTTCCAGTGCAGCTCTCTGCTGTGGCCCGGGAGTGCAGTGGAGGATGGCCCAAGTCCTTGGGCCCTGCACCCCATGGGAGACCAGGAGAAGCACCTGGCTCCTGGCTTTGGATCGGCGCAGCGCTGGCCGTAGCGGCCATTTGGGGGGTGAACCAACAGAAGGAAGACCTTTTTCTGTCTCTCTCTCTCTCACTGTCTATAACTCTACCTGTCAAATAAATAAGTAAAAAAAAGAATTATATTTATGAACTACTCAAAATATGTTCTCTGTATATTAATAAAAATTAATTTAAAAAATTTTAAAGATGTCCTGGTCTAATATTAGAGTACCTGGATTCAAAACCTGGCTCTACTCCTGACTCCAGCTTCCTGCTAATGCAGACCCTGGGAGGCAGTGATGACTCCCCAAATGATCAGGTTCCTGCCACCCAAATGAGAAACCTGGATTGAGTTCCTGGTCCCAGCTTTTGTCCCTGCTCCTGCCATTATGGGTATTTGGAGAGTAAACAGCAGATGAGAGCACTCTGTCTCTCTGCCTGTCACATAAAAAATAAATAAAACTATAATTTTATTTTGCTACAGAAGTTTTTTGAAACCCCTGCCTATGAAAGATGTTTAAAAAGTTCATGAAAATGCATATTATGAAAAAACTGGGGCTGGCATTTTGGCTTAGAGGGTAAAGCTGCTTCCTGCAATGCTGGTATCCCATATGGGCACTGGTTCGAGTCCGGGCTGCTCCACTTCAATCCAGCTCCCTGCTAATACCCTGGGAAAGCAGCAGAAGATGGCCCAAGTGCTTGGGCCCCTGCACCCATGTAGGAGATCTGGAAGAAGCTCCTGACTCCTGGCTTCAGCCTGGCTGAGCCCTGGCTGTTGTAGAGTGAACCAGCGTATGGAAGATTCTCTCTTTCTCTCTTGTCTCCCTCACTTTTAAATAAATAAATAAATAAAGCTTACAAGTACTCAAAAAAACTATGCATGGCTTTCAAAATTTTTTGCACCAATGTGAACTTATCTTTTAATTCCATTTTCCATGAACTTTTTGAAATACTGTTTTATTATATAGTATTCTCTAGTTGTGATATTAAGATAAGTTTTGTCAGAGGGTATGGTTGTTCAGTAAACCACCAATCAGTTAGTCTTCATTTTTCCTTAATAATCTGTTATGAAACTTTTTCTTTTGGATTAATCAAAACCATGGATCTTTATGTCTCAAAGGATAAAATCAAGATCCCTGGGTATGATATTCAAGACCTCGACCTACTACTTCAACAGTACTTCCACTAATCTTATCAGTCCCCAGCCTTAGAGATTAATGTCTCCTCCTATTTTCAAAGCATTTTTTGCCAATATTTATCACTTCAAACATAGTGTATGCAACGTTTTGTTTTGCTTGTTTACATATTCCAACTCTCCCAGATAATCAGCCTCTCAAGGTCAGGTACCATGTCATATCCTTTTATACCAACATTGCTGAAAATGATGATCTATGGGTAATAAGCTCTCAGTGAGTATCTCATGTTGATGAAAAAGTTCAAGTTATCCTCCCAATATTTTTATTAATTTCATAGATTCATATATATTTTCTTTTAAGTCTCTATTTTCAGGGTGAGAAGTTTCAACTATTTTAGTCCATTTGCATATATACACTCATTACCTGTCTTTTAATGGCCTCCAGTTCCAACATTTTTCTATTCTTCTCAACTGCTGCTGAATACCCTAATGTTGTGGAAGGGGTGAAAGGAAGAAATCAATGACATAGCTAATCCACAAATTGTACAGTCAGTCCTTAAACAATTAAGGATCTATACCTGTATGAATAGCTAAGGTTATGAAGCTAGAAGGTTATTTTTTGATTCTATTTGTCTGATCAAGTGACTCAGAAATTCTAAGCAAGAAAGCAAATAGAGAAAAAATAGGGCGGATATGGCAGACAAATTAGAAGTCTTCCTGTCTTAATATTTCTCCCACATAGCTGAGGAAGCCACAGAGGGCCTGATGAATCTCAGTCCTTCGGCCATGAAGAATCTCCTGCACCACATTCTCAGTGGCAAGGAGTTTGGAGTGGAACGAAGTGGTAAGATGGAATAACTGCATTTCTGTTTCAGAGCATTTGGTTTCATGTGTCTCATTGCTTTCAAAAGTATTTCGGTAAAAGGAACTTTTTGCCTCCAATAAATAGAAGTCCAATGGATAAAACAATTAAAAGCAAAGTATTTCCTGGAACAAGATTTGGAAACCACTATATGTCTTATCCTTTTTCCTTAAATGATATGCAGATTTAGCATCCCTAATCTGAAAATCAAAAATTTGAAATGTTTCAAAATCCAAAATTGTTGAGCACCGACATGCACCTGATCGCATGTGATGAATCACAGTAAAAATTCAAGTAAAGTAAAAATAGTGTATAAAATTGCCTTCAGACTTTGTATATAAGATATATACAGAATTTTGTGTCTCCAAAATATCCAATATCCAAAAGAAATCTGAAACACTTCTTGTTCCAAACATTTGGATAAGGAATATTCTCAGCTTGTCTCAACTAAGTTGATTGATTACTAACATGTTTCATTTTAACTGCTTTGTCTATTTCCTTACATTATCCTAATTCTCTGCTTTAAGATGACTTACAATCCATTGCATCTGAAACTTTCTTGTGTTATCATTGAGAGTAATTAAGTAGCACTTTATGTGTGTGTAGCTGCTTCAGTATATCTAATATATCCTTTCAATTTCAAATTCAAATTTGTCTAGAAGTCCATGGCAAGCTACTATTCACCCCCTCTTACGATTTTTGCAGTGTTATTTGGTTTTGTCTCTAAAGCAGCAGAGCAAACGAAAAGATCTTATCTCTCATCCTCAACTTTTAGGATTAGGATAAAGATAATATATGTGATCAAAATGGATAGATGCCAGAACTTAGAGTGATAAGGATTCAGTAGGCCTGGGTTGGGGTCTGAGATTCTACTAACAAGTCCCCAGCTGACACTGATGCTGCTGGTACATAGACTACACTCCAATGAGGTTCTACTAGTTGGTTTTTAAAATTAAGTTAAAAATAAAAGTAGGAACACATCTAAATCTCTTAACATGGTAGAGAAAAATTGAATTGTCCCCTTTCTCTTTAATCTCTCATATTATATAGTTCGTCCCACTGATTCAAATGTCAGTCCTGCTATTTCTATCCATGAGATTGGTGCTGTTGGAGCAACCAAAACGGAACGAACTGGGATCATGCAATTAAAAAGTGAGATAAAGCAGGTAGGATACTATTTCATGAATTAACTGTAATATTGTCATGTTTAAGAATATTCTTTCAGAATGAGTCTTTGTTGAGATCATTTATTTTGTTTCATATCCTGAGTTTAATTTGAGGCATTTATTTTTCAGGTGGAATTTCGTAGACTGTCTATCTCAACAGAGAGTCAGGTGAAACAACTAGGGATCCTTGGATATAGTTTAACTTACCTTTAATTCTATGTAGCATGCATGAGCTCTTGGCCTTTTTACAAAAAAATAATAACATACTGTGGAATAGTTTGTTTGAATCTCTTTTATAACAATCATGTTATGGTTTTCCTTTTTAGGGACCAAGCTCTTTTGTTAATTTTAGGAGGAAAGTAACTTGCGTCTGATAGAAAAGAAAAGAAATCCTGAATCCCTCTTTGCTAAGATCAATGTGCAATTTTGGAATTCATTCTCCTTACAAAACTAAACCTAGACTTGCTAGTTTTAAGAGTAGATACTAGAGAGAATGCAAGATTTTTAAATCTATATTCAGGTATTGTTCCACAATTTAACTTTTATCATTGCCATGATAGAGGTATATGAAAGGTATTGTAGACTCAGAGAAGCATCTAAATCAGTCTGACAGTTGTTGGGAGTCACCAACCACCATACTGTACCCTCTTACTTTTCCCTGTAGGTGAGGATCCGTGAGTTTTTACATTACACAAAGGAATAGTTAACACAGCCTTCCCCTTGCTTTTTTTAAAACTCTGGGAAATAATGTAGTTTCAAGATCTCCAACTTGAGAAGGTATTAATTTGGTTGCTCCTATAAAGACATCATATGAAAAGCTTAAAATTACTTCCCTTGCTTTTAGGATAAAATTATGATAGCTTATGGTATTAAAATACATCTGTAAGAGAAGATGTGAAGTGGAGACTTTGTTTGTTAAAGGAATCAGAAATCCTTTTGTAAAAGAATGACCCAAAGCTTGAAGCTTAATTTGGAGTAAACTTCATTTGAGTACACTTATCAAATACCTTTTGACAGCATTTGCTTTTGAGCAAGGGCAAGTACAGAATGAAATTAAAAAGGGCCTTGAGTTGAAAAAAAAAGTTCACTGTACAATTTTTTCCCAGATAAACTGAATAATCTGAAACCTCTCCTATTTGAAAAGTGAAAGAATTATATTCAATAATTGAAAAGAATCATATTGGTGTGCAATCCTTATTTTGATTGAGAGTGATTGACTAAACTTTTTATAGTTGTTTATAATCATGCATTGTTACTTACAAGTTCATTACATATTTAGAACTAGAAGCTCATGTTCCAAGCTAGATTAATATGATATTAAGAGTTGACCTGCTCAGCTATATCATTTCGGTTTTTTCTATAAATACACTACTTACAGGTCTTCAAGGAAGCCAAAATCATTAGGGCTATAATTTAGAGAATTGAGAGCCCTAAACTTTAATTACTTTCCTACTTCTCAGTATTAATTTTCATTCTCCCCTGCCTGTCTGGTATTTTGTGTTATTCTAATTTCTTTTCCACCTCTCATCAATGCCCATTTTTCTGATTATGAGGGAAAATTCTTAAGATAGTTTTATTTATCTATCTTATGCTTTATCATGACTTCTAGTAAGGGTTGGGTGTCTAGCCCATGGGCCACATAAGGCCAGTGAAACTATTTGGTCTGGCCCTGCTGAGGCAACTGACAACAGAACTCAAAATTCAATAAATCTATAGCAGGCTAATTTTTAAATTGATAATTTTGTATGATCTGCAAATGAAGTTATAAATATCCCAGTAGCCAACGGCAGAAGAGGTTCCCCACCCCTGTTACAGGAAGGCTATTTCATCAGCTTTTTACTGATAACATACTGGCTAATTGCTTAAATAATCTGTACTTTTGCTCTGCTTGTAACTTTTAAAAATATAAGTAATTATTGCCTTGCCATATCCCTTTACATTTCTATTTTCTTTTTCTTTTCATAGCCCAATGGTGGTCATTCGCTGGGTGCAGATTTGATGTCACCATCTTTTCTGGTAACTGCTGATTTTTTTTTTATTACATGCCATTCACAAGTGCTTTGAATATGCTGTTATAGTGGAAGACAATATGGATAAACCTCAGAAATCTAAAAATAGACCTACCATATGACCCAGCCAACCCACTCCTGAGAATTTACCCAAGGGAAATGACATCAGCATATGAAAGGGTTATCTGTACCACCATGTTCATTGCAGCACAATTCACAATAGCTACAATATGGAATCAACCCAAATGTCCATCAACTGATGACTGTATAAAGAAATTACACACACACACACACACACACATACACAAACACTATGGGGTACTACCCAGCTGTAAAAAAAAAAATGAAATCTTGTCTTTTGCAACAAAGTGGATATAACTAGAAACCATTATATTTAGTGAAGTAAGCCAGTCCCAAAAAGACAAATACTATATGTTTCCCTGATCCTTGGTAACAAAGAGAGTTCCAAAAATGTAATGTATAGAAATGAAATTGACATTTTGAGCTTTGATGATTGTTTACAGCCCTTGTCTACACTGTTGAGGAACACTTTTTTTAAAAAAGATTTTTATTTATTTATTTGACAGGTAGAGTTACAGACAGTGAGAGAGAGAGAGACAGAGAGAAAGGTCTTCCTTCCCTTGGTTCACTCCCAAAATGGCTGCAACGGCCAGAGTTGCGTTGATCCAAAGCCAGGTGCCAAGTACTTCTTCCTGGTCTCCCATGGGGGTGCAGGGGCCCAAGCACCTGGGCCATCCTCCACTGCTTTCCCAGGCCACAGCAGGGAGCTGGACTGGAAGAGGAGCAACTGGGACTAGAACCAGCGCCCATATGGAATGCCGGTACCACAAGTGGAGGATTAACCTAGTGCACCACGGCACTGGCCCCAGGAACACTGTTTTTTCTTCTTCCTATTTGTTGAACTCTTTACTTAGTGTAGGATTAATCTTACGAGTATAAAATAAACTGCAAGTTTTACTTAATGTAAAAATTAAGAGAATAGGAGAGGAAGGAGAAGGAAGGGTGAGAGTATGGGAGGAAATGAGGGTAGGGTGGGAAGTTTCATTGTGTTCCTATCTATATCTGTATATAGAAAATACATGAAATCTGTATGACATACACTGGTTGAATTTTTATTCAAAAAAAATGAATCAAGAACTAAAATAGGGGCTGGCGGTGTGGCAAGGCCTGAAGTGCCAGCATCCCATATGGGCACTAGTTCAAGTCCCAGCTGCTCCTCTTCAGATCCAGCTCTCTGCTCTGGCCTGGGAAAGCAGTGGAATATGGTCCAAGTGTTTGGGCCCCTGCATCTACGTATGACACCCAGAAGAATCTTCTGGCTCCTGACTCCTGGCTCCTGGCTTCAGATCGGCCCAACTCCTACCATTGCGGCCATTTGAGAAGTGAACCAGCTGATGAAAGACCTTTCTCTGTCTCTCTCTCTCTCTCTCTCTCTGTAACTCTACCTCTCAAATAAATAAATAAATCTTTTTTTAAAAAAGAACTAAAATAAGTATGAAGCAACTTCATAAATGGGAGATGACATCTTTGTATTTCTTTTCCAGTAATGCAGGGAAGGGAGTTCAATTCCATCTTCTTTTCCATTTCAGAAAACAAAATTTAAGAAACATTTGTTAAATACCTGTTTATTCGTTCAACTTATATAATTTATTATATTCTTTTTTTAAAGATTTATTTATTTGAGAGGCAGAGTTATATATAGAGAAAAGTCTTCCATCCACTGGTTCACTCCCCAAATGGCCTCAACAGCCAGAGCTGAGCTGAGCTGATCTGAAGCCAGAAGCTAGGAGCTTCTTCGAGTTTTCTCACACCGGTTCAGGTCCCCAAACACTTGGGTCATCCTCCGTTGCCTTCCCAGGCCATAAGCAGAGAGCTGGATCTGAAGAAGAGCAGCCAGGACACAACCCAGCGCCCTTGTAGGATGCCAGTATCCCAGGTGGAGGCTTACCCACTATGCCATAGTATGGCCCCCTATTATATTCCTACTATGCACCAGACATTGTGCTAGACAGTATCAGTATCACCTGGGAATGTCGAATGCGAATTCTTGGTCTCTTTACGTGATTCTGATGCACTTTTAAATTTGAAAACCACTGGGTGAGCTGTTCTGATTATTAATTCATTTAGTAAATGTTATTTGAGTACCAATTTTATGCCAGGCACTGCAGCTACAACAGTGAATGAAACAGATGTGTTCCTTGCCCTCACAAGGCTTTTAGTTTAGGAAGACTGATCTCTAATTACATTTCTTCAGTTTGAATCAGTGACTCATAATGGCCTATGATTTAAGATCTCTTACACTGATGACATTTAGAACAGATGACAGTCAAACAAAAAACTGAAAATTTATTGGAAACAATATTGGTATTTTCATTACCCATATTCACATATCCTGTATGAATTAATAAGACTTGTCAAAGTATGTCGTATCCATGTTAATAGGAGACCAAGACATAGAAGACAATTTAACCTAAAAATTCAAAACTATTGATATTTGGTTTTGGAAAAGTCTCAGTTATTCACTATCAGATATATACACTTTCGAGTTTGACCCCAATCTCAGCAGCCTGCAATCCTGATGGTAGAGAACAACAATGAAGTTGAATAAATGGCAGTTCATCTACTTGGGGGATCATTATGATAGTCACTTACTAATAGAAATGTTTGGGGGTACTTTTCTCTTTTACATAGCAGTGGCTGATGATTAAGGCATTTGGCCCAAATTAAACTATGAAGTTTTTATCTCAGAAAATATTCCTATTATCTTCTATCTTATCTTTATTTCTGAATCTAAACTTTCTCCAGTGTATTTCATCCTTTACTTGGTATAATCTTTTTCAATGTTTATTATATTGTACCTTGTATCAAAACTTCATTCCTTTGTATTGTTGAATAATATCCCATTATATTTATATAACGTATTTTATTTATCCATTCATCAATTGGTAGGCATCTGGATTGTTTCTACTTTTTCAGCTGTTATGAATAATGCTGCTATAAACCTCCATGTATAAATTTTTGTAAGGACATATGTTTTCATTTCCCTTGGAGATATATCTCAGAGTAGAAATATTCAGTCATATGGTAACTGTTTTTAACATTCTGAAGAACTGCCAAACATTTCCAAAGGGGTTACATCATTTTATATTCCTACACCAATATATGAGGGTTCCAATTTCTTTACATCCTTATCAACCTTTCCATCCACTGGTTCACTCCCCAAATGCCTGCAGCTACTAGGGCTGGGCCAGGCTGAAGCCAGGAGCCCAGAACTCAGTCCTACTCTCCCACATGAGTGGCAGGGACCCAAGTACTTAAGCCATCATTGGCTGCCTTCCAGGGTGCACATTAGCAGGAAGCTGGATTGGAAGCAGATGAGCTGGGCCTCAAATCAGGGTGTCCAAATGGAATGTGAGAGTCCCAAGTGGCATTTTAACCACTATCCCAAATGCCTGCTTCTGTCTCTTTTTTGATTTGTTGCTTGTGTTTTTGGTATCACATCTAAAAAGGCTTTGAACAAATCACAAATATTTCTTGCTATTCTTATTCTAAGATTTTTATAGATTTAGCTCTTACAATGTAGGTCTATGATTATGTTGGGGTTGTCCCCAAGACCATGCCTGGGTTCAGTGATTCACTAAGAGGACTCATATGTCTCAGCATATAGTTTGTACTCAAAACTATGATTTATTAGGAAGCCTCCCCAAATCCAGATTTCCAGATGCCAGTCATGGGCCAGCCTTGTAAGCATGCCTTCCAAAAGTAGCAGTTCTAGCCTGCTATGTTAATTCATTTCTGTACAATGATCCATTTGGACTCAATTTTTTTGTATGGTGTGAGGTACATGGTCCAATTTTTTTTATTTTTTAAAAAATTTCAATATGTAATATTTTTACATTTGGGGGGCATGCAATATTTCAACACATGTATATAGCACAAATTGATCAAATAGAGCAATTAACCTTTTCCACATCATATTTTCTTTGTGTTTGCAGACTTCCAGCTTCAGTCTTCTAGTTATAGATGCAGTATGTAGTACATTATTATGGATTATAATCACCTCACTGTGCTGTGGAGCATTAGAACTCACTAATTCTGTCTTACTACATCTATCTTGCTTCTTACTTCTATCTTATTACTACTTTTTTTTTTAATTTATTTGATGGATAGACAGTGAGAGAGAGAGAGAGAGAAAGGTCTTCCTTCCATTGGTTCACCCCCCAAATGGCCACAACGGCCAGAGCTATGCCGATCCGAGGCCAGGAGCCAGGTGCTTCCTCCTGGTCTCCCAGGCGGGTGCAGGGACTAGAACCCGGCGCCCATATGGGATGCCAGCACCACAGGCGGAGGATTAACCGAGTGAGCCACAGCGCCGGCCCTTTATTACTACTTCTGTTACTTCTTCTAATGGACCTTGTTATCCAAACTCCCTCTATCCCCCCTCCTCGCATTGTTTCAAGCCTTGGTAATCACTATTCTAAGATCAGATTAAACTTCCACATATTCGGAAGAACATGCAGTCTTTCTATGTCTGGCTTACTTCACTCAACATAATGACATAACTCTATCCATTTTGTTGTAGATGTCAAAATGTCTTTATTTTTATGCTTGAATAACATTAATTATCATGTATAGTTCACATTTTATTTATCCATTCGTCACTGATGAACACCTACATTGATTCCATATCGTGACTATTATGACTAGTCTACAATGAACATTGGAATACAGACGTCTCTTTGACACTTTGACATACTGATTTAACTTTCTGTAGATATATACCAAAAAGTGTAAAAGCTGAGTCATATGATAGTTTTTTAGTTTTTTAGGAATGTCCATACTGTTCTCCATAATTGCTGTGATAATTCACATTCCCACCAACTGTATATAAAGGATCCCTTTTCTCCACATCCTCACCAGAAATTTTTTTTATGCTTTTCGATTATAGCCATTCTAACTGGAATGAGATGATACCTCATGTGGTTGGAATTTGTGTTTCCCTGATGGCTAGTGATCCTGAGCATTTTTGCTTATGATTGTTGGCCATTTGTATTTCTTCTTTTGAGAAATGTCAATTCAGATCCTTTGTCCACTTCTTAACTAGATTGTCTGTTTTGTTGTGAGTTTTTTGAGATCCTGATGTATTCTGGATATTAATCCTTTGTCAAATTAATAGTTTGCTAATATTTTCCCCAGTGTGTGAATGTCTCTTCAGTCTGGTGATTGTTAAAAAAAATTTAAGTGTATAATACAATTTGGTTAACTACAGGCATGATGTGAGACAATACCTCTAGAACCTACTCACCTTGCATAACTGAAACTTTATACCAATGGAATAGCAAGCCCCCATTTCCTTATCTTCCCGTTCCCCAGCGACCACTATTCTCTCTTCATCTATGACGTTGACTACTTTAGATAACTCACATAACTGTAATCATACAGTATATGTCTTTCTGCAATAGGCTTATTTCACTTAGCATAAAATCCTCCAGGTTCATCCATGTTGTCATATATTACAATATTTCCTTCCTTTTTTATGACTGATTAATATTCCATTGTATGTCCATATATATCTGTTGGCCATTTGAATGTCTTCTTTGGTGAAATATCTATTCAAGTGAAATATAATCTCTTTTGTTATTGATCATAATTATATCATGCAATCTTATTCACTTATTAGTTGTGATTTTTTTAGTGAATTCCTTAGAATTTTCTATCTACAAGATCATGTCATCTTCAAATAGAGATGGTCTGATTTCTTCCATTCGCATCTGAACGTCTTTCCTTGCTTAATTGTCCTAGCTAGATCTCCTGCACAAAGTTAAACAGAAGTAGCAAGAATGGGCATCCTCTTGTTCTGATCCTAGGAGGGGACACATCAGGCTCTGACCACTTTTTTTTTTTTTATCAGCTGTGGGTTCCTGGAGGAAAAACAATGTAATCTTTAATTAGATTGAGGTAATTCCCTTATGTTACTAGTTTGCTGAGTGGTTGTTTCTTTTTTCTTTCTTTTTTAATTAGGAAGGCATGTTGCATTTTGTTAAAATGATGTGGATTTTATTCTTTATTCTTGTGGTGTATAAAATTAATTGATATTCAGATATTAAAACAACTTGAATTCCTAGAATAAATCCCACTTCATCTTGTTGCATAATCCTTTTTATGTGTCACTGAATTCAGTTCACTAGATTTTCCTATGATGTCTTTGTCTGCTTTTGGTATCAAGAACAAATTGAGACGTGTTCCCATCTCTAGTCCTTTTTTTTGGGGGGGGCGTGGAATTTATGAAGAACTAGTATTAATTTTTAAAATATTTTATATAATTAACCAGCAAAGTCATGTGTGCTTGGGTTTTTCTTTGTGGGAAGATTTCTACTTACTAATTCAATCTCTTTAGTTGTTATAAATCTGTTCAGATTCTCTGTTTCTTTTTGAATAACATTGGGTAGTTTGTGTTTTTGTAGGACTGTGTCCATTTCATTTAAGTTATATAATTTGTTAGTACATTGTTGCTTGATAGTAAGTATGTTTTTATACTCCTTTTTACTTGGATAAGATTGGAACTGATGTGCCTTTTTTCTTTCTTTTTATTCTTTATCTAGCTAAATACTTGTCCATTTCCTTTAAATTTTCATTAAAAAATTTTGGTTTAATTGATTTTCTCTATTATTTTTATAATCTTTATTTCCTTTCCACTCTAATCTTTATTATTTCTCTCTTTTCTGCTTGCTCTTCTTTTTCATTGTCATAAGGTAGAAGCTTTGGTTATTGACTTGAGACATTTATTCTTTTAATACAGAAATGTATTTCTATCTTTTTAAAGACTTATTTATTTTAAATGCAGAAATCATAAAAAGAGACAGAGAGAGAAAAACATCTTCCATCTGCTAGTTCACTCCCCAAATGGCAGCAGTGGCTGGGTTTGGGCCAGGCTGAAGCCAGGAGCCCAGAAATCCATCTGGGTCTCTCACATGTGTAGCAGAAGCCCTAGTACTTGGGCCATCTTCTGCTGTTTTTCCAGATGCATTAGCAGAGAGCTGAATCAGAAGCAAAGCAGCTGGCCGGGACTTGACTGGTGCTCTGATATGGGATGCCAGCATCACAAGCAATTGCTTAATCCACTGCACCACAATGTTAGCCCCAATACAGAAACTTACAACAAATTTTCTCTTCAAGCACTGTTTTAGATGTATCCGATAAATTTTGGTAGGTTGTGTTTTCATTTTCATTCACCTCAGAGTATTTTTTAATTTTCCTTGTGATTTTTTTCTTTACTGTGTTGGTTATTTAATAGTATTTTTAATTTCCACATACGAGTATTTTTAAATTTCCTTCTGTAACTCATTTCTAATTTAATTCTGTTGTAGTTAGAGACATACCTCATATGATTTCAATTCTCTTAACTTTATTAAGATTTGTTTTATGACTCAAAAGAACAGCCAACTAAGCCATAGACCAGGTAGAATTTTAACAGAGATAACCAAATAATGAAAGGGCTAATAATGTTTCATAGCATCAGTATTTTTTCAGTTCTTGTTAGGTATCAGATTACTTTCTGAAAAGCTTATACCAGTGTACAACAACACTAGTGATATATACCTAAGTCTACTGCCTTCACTTCAAGCTTTCTATCTTGGCTGTTTCACTTTATATATAGTGTATCATTCTGCAGTGTTTATGTTCCACTTCGTCAGAAACACAGAGGTAATTTTGATTTATGATCTTTTCTCTATTCTTCTCCTAAGTCTCCTGGAACCTCTGTGACTCCGAGTAGTGGGTCCTTTCCTGGTCATCACACATCTAAAGATAGTCGTCAAGGTCAATGGCAACGCCGAAGAAGGCTGGATGGAGCACTAAATAGAGTCCCAATTGGATTTTATCAAAAAGTATGGAAGGTTTTGCAGAAGGTGAGCATAACTCATTGTAGATGTCTGCTTATTTTTCCTCCTGAAATTCTCAGTTTCTTTGGCTAAGATAGGTCATGACTATACTGTCATGGGGTCCCTGGCTCCTGGCTTTGACCTGGCCTGGCCATGGCTGTTGTGGTCATTTGGGGTGTGAGAGATCTCCCTCTCCTTCTCCCTTTCCTTCTCTGTCACTTTGTCTTTCATATAAAATAAGCAAACCTTTAAAAAAGGAAGAAAGAAATACATGTCTCTTTTACAGGTCTCCAGTTGTTAGTCTAACTGTGGTGACATATTTTTCTGCTTTGTAGTGTCATGGACTTTCTGTGGAAGGTTTTGTTCTTCCTTCTTCAACAACTAGAGAGGTAAGTAAGATTCTGTGTCCTTCACATTCATGTGGCTGATTGTTCACCGAGCTAAAGGATTTCAGTGATCACTTTTCAAAGTAACAGGCCTATGCCATTATAAGTCAACTGAACATTAAATGCATCTAAAGAAAGGAGAGAATTTTTTTAAAAAATTGAATGGAAGGCCAGCGCCGCGGCTCACTAGGCTAATCCTCCGCCTTACGGTGCTGGCACACCGGGTTCTAGTCCCGGTCGGGGCGCCGGATTCTGTCCTGGTTGCCCCTCTTCCAGGCCAGCTCTCTGCTGTGGCCCAGGAGTGCAGTGGAGGATGGCCCAAGTGCTTGGGCCCTGTACCCCATGGGAGACCAGGAGAAGCACCTGGCTCCCGGCTTCAGATCAGCGTGGTGCACCGGCTGCAGCGGCCATTGCAGGGTGAACCAACAGTAAAGGAAGACCTTTCTCTTTGTCTCTATCTCTCACTGTCCACTCTGCCTGTCAAAAATAAAAAAAAATTTTAAAAATTTTAAAAATTTAATGGAAATATCACATAATAGTTATGTATCCCATTAGCTATATAAGTATGACTTCTTTTAATGACTGATTAAGTTAATCTGGTTTATGTGAATGTTAGGGCAGAAGGGATAGAAATCCTAGAATTAATGACTTCTCTTGTCCCCTCCCGTGCTTATCATTACCCCCTCTCTTATAGGATGCTTGTAGAGCACTCTAGCATAAAGCAGTGATCCTTCGGTCTATTTGTTAGATCAACCTGGGTTCCCATATCCAACTTAGTGGATTAGAATTTTCAGGGATGGGGCCTGAGGATATGGATTTTTTTAAACCTATAAAACGATTCTGATATTTCATCACCATTGGAAAGCACTGCTGCAAACCAGAGGCATAGATTATCAAAAGCCTTAATATTGTTCCTTTTATCCAAATCACCATGTCCCCTATTTGTCTTTTCTTTGCCTTTAAATAGACTTGAAATGTTAACAGAATTAATCATGTATCCATACCTGAATAGTACTTTTAAAAGTATTCAAAGCACTTTCACATTATTTATTTTGATTTTCAACACAAGTATGTGAGAAAACTTAAGAATGAATGGTCATTCTCAACGTACAGATTAAGGAGGGGCAGAGGCGGGTTAGGCCTCTGCTCATGACGCTGGCATCCCATATTTGTGCAAGTTCCTTTCCCAGCTGCTTCACTTCTGATCAAGCTCCCTGGTAATACCCCTGGGAAAGCAGCCAAAGATTGCTCAAATATTTGGGTCCCTGCATCCATGTGGGAGACCTAGATGACCTGGCCTTTGGCTTCAGCCCAACCCCAAACTTTGCAGCCATTTGGGGAGTGAACCAGTGGATGGAAGATATATTCTCTCCCCCACCCTCTCTGTAACTCTACTTTTCAAATAAATAAAAATAAGGGGGAAAAGTTTAGAGATTGTCCAAAGTCATATAACTAGTAAATGACTAAGACAGCATTTGAACCCAGATCTTTAGACCCCCAAGTCCACATCACCTCCCTAGAGTACATACTCAATACAACTTTACCAATGATTATTCCTCAGTGTCCTTCACCCTATAATAATTTTACAGGTCTTGGCCGGCGCCGTGGCTCACTAGGCTAATCCTCCATCTGCGGCGCCAGCACACCGGGTTCTAGTCCCAGTTGGGGCGCCAGATTCTGTCCTGGTTGCCCCTCTTCCAGTCCAGCTCTCTGTTGTGGCCCAAGTCCTTGGGCCCTGCACCTTCATGGGAGACCAGGAGAAGCACCTGGCTCCTGGCTTCAGATCAGCGCGGTGCGCCAGCCGCAGCGCGCCGGCCGCAGCGGCCATTGGAGGGTGAACCAACGGTAAAGGAAGACCTTTCTGTCTTTCTCTCTCACTGTCCACTCTGCCTGTCAAAAAAAAAAATCTTAAAAAAAAGTTTTACAGGTCTTAAAGCCTATTTTTTACTATAACAATATGTAAATGTTTTATGTAATTCTAATCACCATGTATATACAATTTTAAGTCCTACTTAATTTTTCCTTTACCTTTATTCTTTTAAATGGCTCCATAAAACTCATCAAGTTGCTATGTCATGCTATGGCATTATTTATACAACCATTCCTGTGCTTAGGTTACTTCTAGTTTTACACTTAAGATTAATGCTGCTATAAACACTTATGCGCATGGAGGAGTTTGCTCCTCTTTTTTTTTTTTAGATTTATTTATTTATTTGAGAGTCAGGGGTACACAATGAGAGAAGGAGAGGCAGAGAGAGAGGTCTTCCATCTGTTGTTTCACTCCCCAGATGGCCACAAACAGCTGGAGCTGCACTGATCCGAACCAGGAGCCAGGAGCCTCCTCCGGGTCTCCCACGTGGGTGCAGGGGCCCAAGGACTTGGGCCATCTTGGACTGCTTTCCCAGACCATAGCAGAGAGCTGGATTGGAAGAGGAGCAGCCGGGACATGAACCGGTGCCCATATGGGATGCCAGCACTTCAGGCCAGGGCGTTACCCCGCTGCACCACAGTGCTGGCCCCTCTCATTTTCTTCCCTCTTTTGAATTAAGTTCCTTAGGATGAACTCCCAGAAATAGGATTATGGGGTACAGGACATTGACACATTTATGACTCTTGTTATGCATTGCCAGATTGCCTTGCAAAGAGACAGAACCAATTTACTCACTCAATTATTTTAAAGGGGGATGAAGCAGTTACTTGTGGCTACTGTGTTTTTACTGCCTTTCCTACATGATGGACTCTTAGGTTGTGATTTTCTTTTTCTCTATCACAGATGACTCCAGGAGAGATTAAATTCTCTGTTCATGTGGAGTCTGTCCTGAATCGGGTACCTCAGCCAGAGTACCGCCAGCTTCTAGTTGAAGCCATCCTTGTCCTTACCATGCTGGCAGATATTGAAATTCATAGCATTGGAAGCATCATCGCTGTGGAAAAAATAGTGCATATAGCCAATGACTTGTTCCTTCAAGAACAGGTAGATAAACCTATTTTTTTATCTCAAAGGAGAGTGTTTGATAGTAACCTGAACTTCAGAACTCTTCATGAAGCCTAGGTCACTTTCCTGTCCCCACTTCCTTATCACTCTTTGTTGGACCCCCTTTGTAGTGTCTTTGAGCTGTTTGCAATGGAGTAGGCCGCAGGAAAACTTCTGTCTTTTACCATGTGTTTTGTGGTTTGTGTTAGATGCTTACGTTGCCTGGAACTCAGGTTTTAACTCTTTTCCCTGAAAAGCCCTAAAGTATAGCATTAGTATCATATTTCAGTTTCCTGTTCACAGCACTTTTTCTATAGTTTTAAGGAATTAATAAGGGCCTATTTGGTAGCACATCCTATTAAGGAAAAGAGATTTGTTTTTGAATCACTTTACTTTTGCTTTTGCTATTTCCCTATGTGAAGACCATAGTGAAACTTTTATTTCTACATTTTTCTTATTTTAAAATAAATCTTCTGGTAAATGAATCATAGTAAAATACAAATATTTATTGAAAGTATTCCAAATGTTGCCCAGATTGAACCAGCATGCATAAGGAGGATATGCAGTGTTGTCAATAGGAAAATCTCTAAAACATACTATGGGATGTAAAAGAAAAGTATCCAGAATTTCCTGGACAGTCTTAATTTTAAATATTCTGGGTTACTCTCAATTCATGTATCAGAAAATGGACCCCTTAGTCATACACTTTAGCCTTAGAAAAGTTATGATCTATTTGTATTAAGTTGGCTTAGAAAGAAATCATGATCAAATGCAAGATAAATGAATACATACAAGGTGAAATCAGTAGTAGTAGATGGAATCAGACCAAAGTCCCATCATGAAGATTCATGTTAACATTTGCCTCTTAACTGGTGCAACTTAGTTATTATTGTATATTTAACTTTCAAAAAATTTATTGTAATGGGAAAAATGCAAAACAACCATTTTTTAATAATTGTCATAATTTGGGGATAGCGCAGCCACGTGTATAGAAATGCATATTCACTCTTTCATGCATAATCCTAATCCCTTCCTGGCCAGACAGCCTAGGAGCCAATTAATTGGTTACAGAGAGGAGGCTCTGATTTTTATTAATCAGGACTCAACTTAGTAGGATTGGTAATTTTTCCTTTCCCCTGTGTTCTCCCCCTCCCTTAAAAAACAAACAGAAAACCCTTGGCGCAGATGATATCATGTTGGCAAAGGATCCTGCATCTGGCATCTGTACTCTTCTGTATGACAGTGCACCCAGTGGCAGGTTTGGCACCATGACCTACCTCTCCAAGGCAGCCGCCACCTACGTGCAAGAGTTCCTGCCCCACAGCATCTGTGCCATGCAATGAGGGCTTTGGGTCCTGGCTGCTGAGATCCTTTGACAGTTGATTGTGCATGGAAGTGAAATGTTATCACCTGATCACTCCCACCCAGCCTCTTTCTGCCCCATCCCTCCCGAGAAGAGAGAACATCTCCGATAAACTAACTGCTTTAGAAGAAGTGAAGGCTTCCCTGGAAGCTCCCTTCCAGCGTGCGGATGCTCAAACCACGCCTTTCATTAGCAGCTTGAATTCTTTCATGGTTCATAAAAGTTTGCATGTGTTTTGTTCTCTAGATCTGTTACCTACTTGGTTTTCTAACTCCTGTTTGGGGAGCAGGTATTAATAATAACTTATTCCTAAAGTTTGAATTTTCTCATGTGTGGTTTTATTATGTGTATGTGTGGTAGGTACTTTGGGACATTATTTCAAATGTGCAAACTCTAAATGGTTGGATTTTATGCTACCATAAATTGGAAATCTCTATTCTAAGTGCTTTTTGTGGTTGGAAAAGAAAGTATCTGGTCATTCTTCACTTACAGGTTGGCTTATACTGAGTGGTGAATTATTGTCTCTACTATTACTGTCTCTGTATCTGCACACATAATACCTAGTCCCACTATTCTGAAATATCAACAATGCAAATACACCATGTATATTTAAGGACTTCTGTATTAACAGCTGAAATCACATTTTATGAAGATTTCTGATACTCAGAGATATATTTACAGCAGAAAATACAGAACAACTCAAAGGAATGGAGCCAATTGCCTGATTCCAGAGAGGAAGGGAAAGGAGAAAACCCTAACTAGTACCTTACATGTGAGTATCAGAGAGAGACTAGTTTCCTGAAGACAGTCTTAGGCACCTGATCCTTACATTTAAAGAGTATGCCAACAAACAGCTCAGAAAATAATTGAAGCCTCTGTTTCTGTTGAAAATCCAGCAGTCCAGTCTATTGCTGCTCTACTGAGCATTCTTCTTGTGTTTTTGAACTCTATCTCACTCACCTGCTCACTTTTTACCACATCCAACCACCTCCTCAACTCTTTGCCCTCTATCTATTCTTAAACTCTTTCACTTCCTAATTCTAGTGTTCATATCCCTGTACATCTTAGTATCAGTAGACGTGTATCTGTTCCTTGTAAACATCTGTGTGTGTGTGTGTGTGTGAGAGAGAGAGAGAGAGAGAGAGAGAGAGAGAGAGAGATGGGACATTTTCTGAATGTAAGTGATTTTGATATGCCTATGCGTCTGTCCATATCTAATTTGATGGGGCGGGTAAGTATCTAAATATGAATATTGCCTATGACAAGGGGGTTATGACTGTGGTCTCCAGCTGACACACCATGGGCAACAGAGGAATCCCTTCCAATCTCTTCCCTGGACCTACGTAAATATAGCTTTCCTTGACAAATGTTTCTCCTAGGTTCCCTTCTCCAAGTTGGTGATGGATTTCTCTCTTTGCACCCAGATAACTTCTCAATTCAATCTTCTCTTTTCCCTCAGCTTTTTTTAATGATTTATTTATTTATTTGAAATTCAGAGTTACACAGAGAGAAGAGAGGCAGAGAGAGAGAGAGAGAGAGAGAGAGAGAGGAGAGAGAGAGAGAGAGAGGCCTTCCATCTGACAGTTCACTCCCCAGATGGCTGCAATGGCTGGAGCTGTGCAGATCCGAAGCCAGAAGCTAGGATCTTCTTCCTGGTCTCCCACGTGGGTGCAGGGGCCCAAGGATTTGGGCCATCCTCTACTGCTATCCCAGGCCATAGCAGAGAGCTGGATTGGAAGTGGAGCAGCCGGGTCTTGAACTGGTGCCCATATGGGATGCAGGTGCTTCAGGCCAGGGCGTTAACCCACTATGCCATAATGCCAGCCCCTCCCTCAGCTTTTAAGAGTTTTCTGTAAGAATGCAAATGGAGAAGGCAGGGATGGGAAATTCTCTAGCAGAACCAATGACAATCCTATGAGTATACTGAATAAGTGAGCCTAGTGTGCTTGTAGTAAACAAACAGTGGGAACGAAGACAGGATGGCTCACCTTTTCAGGACATCTCTCAAAGCAAACAGAAATAAATAGAAAGTCCTTTTTTGATAATATGATCTTCTGATCACATTTTAAGAAAGTTTACACCATATTCTGAAACTATTTGTCTTTTCGCTGGCTCTAAGTATACCCCAAGAGCAGGATGTGCATCTGGAGTGCCACTGGACTGCTGCTACCCCTCCTTCCTGTGCTCATTGCCTGAACTGACACTGATGGCTGCATTTCTCTGGGTTCACTAAATGTCTGTCATTATGCTCCCCACACAGTGGTATTTCACTTTTTAATCAACTTTTTAGAAAACTTTGCTGTTTTGTTCACTTTTAAGCATGTAATACTAAAAAGACATGTTAGGCTTTTTTAAAAAAAAAAGCACTTATGTTTTGAAAATAGAATAAAGAGTAAGAATTTACAATTAAATCATGTCTGGTGCCAATGTACAAAATTTTGCATACATTTTTGTGATTGGAGTTTACTCCACAGTTTCATTTTGCATATGCTGTTAAATTACATAATGGGTTACAATTACAGTAATTGGGTTAATATAGACTAATTAATATTATGTATATATCACATATTTTTAAAAGATTGATTTATTCATTTGAAAGGCAGAGTTACAGAGGGGCAGAGGCAGAGAGAGAGAGAGAGGGAGGGAGAGAGAGAGTCTTCCATCTTCTGGTTCACTCCCCAAATGGCCTCAACGACTGGAGCTGGGCCAATCCAAAGCCAGGAGCTTCTTCCCAATCTCCCATGTGGTTGCAGGGGTCCAAGTACTTCAGCCATCTTCTTCTGCTTTTCCAGGAGCATTAGCAGGGAGCTGGATCAGAAGTAGAGGAGCTGGCACTTGAACCAGCGCCCATATGGGATGCCAGCATTGCAGGCAGCAGCTTTACGCAGTATGCCACAGTACCGGCCCCAGCACATGTCATATATTAAACATGATATGTTAGGTAATATACTGAAAGAAAAATGTATCATTCAAATATGTACCTGCTCAAATGAGGTTCGCTAAATTCAAATGGGCTTATTGACATCTTTATGGAAACTGTTCTGAGGAATGAATAAGACACTTTCACTCAGCATGTCAATTGTGTACAAATGGTGTTTCTGCACTACTGGAGGGTACTGAGAAGCAGTTCATTCTCCTAAGTATTATAAATATTTGGCAGAATCTTGCTCATATTATTCATTAGTCTTTCCCAAAATAAGAGTTTATGCAGCAAGGAACAGTATCTCTGCAGCTTCATCCTAGTTCATTAGTTTTGACAACATCCCAGAAATTTGTGCAATTGGCAGGCAAAAGGTGTTAAGCCACTATTCACAAAACTTCTACCATTCCTTTTTGCGCTTACCAAATACCTAGTCTCTGTACTAATTTACTGGAGACAAATACAGTATTTTTCACCCTTATTATTCATTTCCTTTTTAATGTGAGTGACCCAGGTCTTGGTTTGCCCAAGACAGTTGACCCTGATGCCTGTTTTCTGGCATAAGTGGTAATACCACCCTTTGTCACTCTCAAAAGTGCCTCAACTTGAATGATGTGGTCACCCTATATTTAACAGAAGTCTGATTTCCTTTATTGCCTGAAAGCTAAGGACTTGTTCTCAGACCACAAACTAGTCTTCCATTAAAGGTATGGAAGTAAGGTATGCAAGAAGTAAAACAGTGAGAAGAGACTTCCTAAGAAAAATTAAGGCATATTTGGCATTATGGTTTTTTAAAAAATAACCAATATTTTAGTACTTACCAAATATCAGATATTGTCATATAGGTACTTGGCATGGGTCCTCTAATCTTTACAACTGCCACATAGGGTAGTTACGTTAGCATCCCCATCTTTCAAGTTAGGGAACTGAGACACTGAGAGTTTAAGCAAATTGCCCAAGGTCAATCAGTTAATAAGTGATAGAGCTGGGATTTGAACTTGATCCTATAATTCACATTTTTTTTCTTTAATAAAACAAAAAGATTTATTTGAAAGAGATACTGACACAGACATGGAGAGACAGAAAGAGGGAGATCTTCCATCTGCTGGTTCACTCTCCCAAAAGGCCTCAACAGCCAAGTCTGAGCCAAGTCAGGAACCAGGAACTCCATCCTAGTCTCCCATTTGGGTGGCATGGGTCCAAGCACTTGGGTCCTCCTCCACTGCCTTGCAAGGCAAATTAACATGAAGCTGGGTTGGAAGCCAAACAGCTGAGACTCGAACTGGCGCTCTGATATGGGATGCAAGCATGGCAAGCCAATGGCTTAACCCAGTGTTCCACATGTCGGCTTCATTGAGTTCACATTCTTAACACTCTCTCCAAAGAAAAGAAATTAGGGGATGGTATTAAAACAAGGGTCATTCTGTTGAATACAGTTTAAGCATTAGTGGACAGATTACGAAGTGAGCAATTAAGTGGCCAAAGGAGTAGTGCCCTTTGTATGCATTTTTTCCTTTCTACCTGCTTCTGCCAGCAAGTGAAAGTTGGAAGAGTGCAAAAAGAGGAATGTAAATATGAGTGTTGCATGTGAGAGAAGAGTTGTGACTGTGGCCTCCAGCTGATATACATGGAGTGTGATCATGGAGGACATACACAGAGCCCAACTTGACCTTGCTGGTTCAAACCATTACCTTTAGCAATAATTATTGGGGAAAGTGAGTCAAATAACTTGACCATGGTCACCACCCTAACAAGCTTTGGAGTCAAGATTCAACTTACTTACTTCCTGTGACCTCAAGTCCTAGAACTACTAATCCCATGCCTTAGGAACAGCTTTCCCAATTCAAGAACCATATGCTATCAATCAAGTGGAAAACAGAGGATTGGAACCTATAATATGATTTGTGCTGTGCCTTAATCATGAGCAAGTATACAACTTCCCTGTGATATTTGCTACAAAAAAACCATGCCAATTTCAGAGCAGTGTGCAACAATTTCTCTTTATCCAGTTTACAAGTTTCCAGTTCACAAGTACGCTCATGTCATGCAGTGTTCATCTATCTCTTGTTAGATGTGAAAGAACAGGTAAAACAATCCATTTCCATGCCATATGATAAGAGACTGCATGCTAGAAATTAAGGTATTAGTTGGCTGGTCTAAATCCAGCCTCCTTCCTTCTACTGCCTATCTCTGAAGGCCCATGACAAGTTCCATTTCTTCCTTACATTTCCAGCCTATTATGGTCCCACCTTTCAATGAATTTCCATAGCACCCCAACCTGACACTCTCTCTCTTCTCTGTATAAAATGTGTTCAGTTCTCCATTGTCCTACAAAACACTTCTAGACACTGATGTCCCTTCAGGCTGACAGACTATCTCCGTCCTTTCGCAGTCACATTTCTTTAATAGAGGAAGCCACACATAACTCTGTTGGAGTCACATTTTAACCTCTCCTGATATGGTTTCCTCCCCTACCTCCTTTTTCCTCCATAGGGCATTGGTAAGTTTCTAATGGTGAAAAGGGTCTTTGACCCTTTTGCAATACTTGACATTGTTGGTATCTCCTCCTTGTTGAAACTCCTCTTTGATTTATTCAAACCGTACTACATTGGCTCTCACCCAACCGTTTCTTCTTTTTCCTCATTTCTGGCATCTTTTTCCTCTCTGAACCTCCACAAACAGACATTTCAAAAGATTATACTCTTCTTCCTAGTTCAAGCATTCTCACAATAGTGTGGATTTTGGTGATGTGATCTGGTTTCCTTTAAAAAGAAAGGAAGGGGGCCCAGCGCTGCAGTGCCAGCATCCCATAGGGGCTCCAGTTAGAGAACTGGCTGCTCCACTTCCAATCCAGCTCTCTGCTATGGCCTGGAAAAGCAGTAGAAGATGGCTCAAATGCTCGGGCCCCTGCACCCACGTGGGAGACTCAGCGGAAGCTCCTGGCTTCAGATTGGCCCAGCTCTGGCTGTTGCAGCCATTTGGGGAGTGAACCAGTGGATGGCAGACTTCTCTCTACGCCTCTGCCTCTGCCTCTGCCTCTGCCTCTGCCTCTGCCTCTCTGTAACTCTGCCTTTCAAATAAATAAATAGACAAATCTTAAAAAAAAAAAGAAAGGATGGATGGAAGAGAAAGAAAGGAGCTCATTCTGGTGGCTTCCATGAGAATGGGGTTTAGCGCAGCAAGATTGGAAATCCAGACCAGGTAGATATTGTAGAAAGTCCCAGTGAGAGGTAAAAGTGCAAAGGGAAAGAAGTGGGTGTATTTAAGGCATGTCTTGGAGGTGGAATGGAAGGAAATTGCAGATGTGTTGGATCTACAGGAAAAGGATGGGACAAAAATAACTCCATGCCGGCGCTATGGCTCACTTGGCTAATCCTCCGCCTGCGGCACCGGAACACCCGGTTCTAGTCCTGGTTGGGGCGCCGGATTCTGTCCAAGTTGCTCCTCTTCCAGTCCAGCTCTCTGCTGTGGCCTGGGAGTGCAGTGGAGGATGGCCCAGGTCCTTGGGCCCTGCACCCGCATGGGAGACCAGGAGGAAGCACCTGGCTCCTAGCTTCAGATCGGTGCAGTGCGCCGTCTGCAACGCGCCAGCCGTAGCAGCCACTTGGGGGGGTGAACCAACAGAAAAAAGAAGACCTTTCTCTCTGTGTGTGTGTCTCTCTCTCTCACTGTCTAACTCTGCCTGTCCAAAATAAATAAATAAATAACTCCTAGGTTTTTGGTTTAGGCAACCAAATAGCTGTTTGGTACCTTTACTGAGCTATAAAGATGGGAAAATATTTGGATAGGGAAATCACAAGTTTGGTTTTCAAAATGCTTCACCCCAGTGAAGAAAGCCACTTTTATGGCTCCAGTCATCTCTTTATATGGAAAACTTAACCCACTGATTTATGAAACAACACTTTTTATATCAGACTTCTATGTCCATGCTATCCTATGAATTCTTCTTCCTGGTTGCCCTCTTTCTTCTATTGGCACTCAAGCCTTCCCTTCACTCAGACTTTACATTAGAAGGTTTTCAGCCACTCTTTATCTTCCTCCCTCTCACCAACATCCACGTAGTAAGAAAATCTTATTGAACCTACCATATACATAATTTCTGCCTCTCTCTTCCCATTGCCCCCACTCTACTTTAAATCGTCATCACTTCGATATCTGGACCCTTGTGGGACTTTTACCCCTCAGGTTTTTCAATAACTATCCTTTCCTACACACTGCTGTTGTCTCCCCACTACCCATAGAAGGAAGTCTGTTCTAATTTTTTGTTGTTGTTGTTAATAGTGCAAGCTTTTTAAAAAAGATTTATGTGTTTATGTATTTATTTGAAAGGCAAAGTTACAGAGAGGGAGAGGAGGGGGGATGGGGAGGGAGACGAGAGTGAGAGGCCTTCTGGGGCCGGCGCTGTGGCATAGTGGGTAAAGCCTCCCCCTACAGTGCCAGCATCCCATATAGGTGCCGGTTCAAGTTCCGGCTGCTCCACTTCCGACCCAGCTCTCTGCTATGGCATGGGAAAACAGTAGAAGATGGCCCAAGTCCTTGGGCCCCTGCACCCACGTGGGAGACCCGGAAGAAGTTCCTGGCTCCTGGCTTCTGATTGGCGCATCTCTGCCCATTGCGGCCATTAAGGCATGTCTTGGAGGTGAACTGTTGGATCTACAGGAAAAGTATGAGACAAAAATAACTCCTAGATTTTTGATTTAGGCAACCAAATAGCTGTTTAGTACCTTTACTGAGCTATAAAGATGGGAAAATATTTGGATAGGGAAATCTGCCCCTCCATCTCTCTCTGTATAACTCTGACTTTCAAGTAAATAAATCTTTAAAGAGAGAGAGAGAGAGAGGTCTTCCATCTGCTGGTTCACTCCCCAAATGGCTGCAACAGGCAGAACTGCACCAATCAGAAACCAGGAGCCAGGAGCTTCTTCTGGGTCTCCCACATGGGTACAGGGGCCCAAGGACTTGGGCCATCTTCTACTGCTTTCCCATGCCATAGCAGAGGGCTGGATCAGAAGTGGAGCAGCTGGGACTCAAACCAGCATCTATATGGGATGCTGGTACTGCAGGGGAAGGCTTTACCTGCTATGCCACAGCACCAACCCCAAGTCTGTTCTCTTCAACTTGATATCCAAAGCCCTTCATGATCTGGCTCCCATCTTTACTAAGCAAAATGCTGTCTATCCTTTAATACCCTCTTCAATAAGAATCCTAGTTACCATTTATTAGATACCATTTATTAAGTACTTAGTGTTTATTTATTAAGTAAACTAAACATCCTACATGCATTAGCTGACTCTGCATCACGTATGGTTTCCAGTGTATTTGCCTCATCATCGCTACAAGAATGTAGATTTTTTGAAAGCAGAAATCAGACTATAATTCACCTTTGGATCTTTGGTTGTATTGTACATTTAGTTTATATAGGATAAATCATTAATGATACTACAGAGCTTTGAATTAGTTGCTGAGGAAAAATCTAAAAGGATCAGGAGAGGTTACATTCTAGTTACAGAATACATCACAAAAAGGAAAATTTCTAGAATACAAACTATTGAGGGAATACTTAATGTAGGGTTGAATAAAGTTAGATATAATGCAAAGTCCTTTTGGAGGAATCAAATTTATATAGAAAAGGGATGTTCAGTGGTGTCAGTATCAGACAGACCTGATTTTGACTTCCTCCTTTTCTGCTTAAATGTGTGCGACATCAGTTATTTTCTCTTTCCACACTGCATGTGTAAAATGGGCATATTGCAGCATCCTTCGTGGGACTTTTGCCAAGATGAAATAAGAGAATACATCCAAAGTGCATCCCACAATGCTCAGTAAATATTTAAAGAGTAAAAGAAAAAGTTAGATTTTAAAGAAGGTAAGGATATTGTGTTCTCTCAAAAAGGTTAGTAGGTCAATTAAGATTGATGTAAGAATTGGAGACCTGAGTATATTTGTCAGGACAGTCTTCAACATGGACCCTTACAGCAACCTTTATTTAGTTGCAGAAGCAAAAGGAGAGAGGGGAAAAGAGCTGCAGCTTCCAAATACCACACAACATATGTGCTTGTGTCCTTCCTGTCACATGAATGTCCTTGAAGTACATCATTGCTTGACTGGAATCCACCAAGCAATATCTATAGCACCAGGCAGTCTTTTGGGAACTGATGTCAGATTTGCTAAGGTAAAGTAATTGAGATTGTTAACTCTTACATGGATAGTTAGTGATGAAATGCGATGAATTAAATTTGCATCACATAATTCACTGAGCAAACTTTTCAAAATGCTTGTACTATCAATCTACCACCACTGCCCTGTACCTCTAATCTTCAGGTAGCTAATGTGGGGCGGGGGGGCTCTGGGTGGCAACATTGTAACATCTGCCTTTAAATATTTTAGTGGCTACAGTTCACAGATTAAAACAATTCATCGAAGAGTTGAGAACGTATTTCTTTTTTCTTTTTTTTTTTTTTATTATTTTTTGTCGCTAAAACTTAAAACCGCGGCTTTTTTAGTGCTAAGTCCAGACTCTTCCGCTACTCGAACTTCTAGAAACTACATCTCCCAGCATGCTCGCAAGCTAGTCTGACCTCATTTCAAATGGCCCCGTAGGGCAACAAGGATGGTTAGTGTTGACTGTACTTGTCTGTACCATAAAAAGGCTATCCTACCTGGCAGCTATTTGTACTTTTATACTTGCCGACCCCGTTTTTTTGAACTATGGTCACAAAATGAAGGGGTTGTGGTCTGGAAAGGCCCATCCATTTTGTCTATTGGATAGGGAGTGGGGACAGTGTCCCCGGCGATTTCAAAAGAGGGAACATTGACCAGGGAGCACCGCTGCGGCCGTTAAGAGGAGCAGGAACCAGAGCCCGGGCTGAATCCGAAAAAAGCCGGATCCGGACGGTGGGAAGTGGAAGATGGAGGAAACAGAGGAGCCGGCAGATGGTGGGAAGTCTCTGCCGCCGGTTTACATTTACAGTCCCGAGTATGTCACCATTTGCGACTCTCTGGCCAAGGTCCCAAAACGGGTAAGAGAGGTCGGGGCACGACACCGTGGGCTTCTGGAAAGATGGGGGAGGGGAGGGTGCGGGGCGGTGGACGGATGGGCATTATTAATCGAAGAGCGTACTGGGCTGGGGGAAATCCGTAGAAAGCTAAGCAGATTTATTAAATACCTAAATGTGTGTTAAGAGGAAGTGTTCCGGGTTTGATAGCGCAGCGTGTCTCGGCGGGACGCCCAACGGCCGGGTGGGGGTGGGGCAAGGTGGGAGGCGGAGGAGGTAGGGGGACAGCGGGCTGCTGGGGATGGCACGGGGCGAATGGACTTTCTACTTGGAGGGCGTCGCTGAAGTCGTGGAAGAGAAGCGGCCGGAGAGAAGTGTTTCATCACCTGGATAAGGCTGGGTAGCTTCCGCCTTAGCGATTTTGATACTTTGTGTCTGTAGTAAGTGCATTGTAACTGTCAAGTAACAGAAGCAAAGAGAGCTGCAACAAAGTTAGTTTCTTGGCTCAGCAAGGAGAAGTTGATGGGATCTCGCGGAATTAAACTTCTAATAGGCTATTTTCTGCTTTCTTTTGTGCTGTTTTTAGGCAAGTATGGTCCATTCTCTGATTGAAGCATACGCCCTGCCTAAGCAAATGAGGTGAGTTGTCAACCCCCCGCCCTGCATGCACGCAAAACCGGGTTTTCACAGCCTTAATATCCTGCTGCATCACAGAGGGGCTAATTAGGGAGAAATGGTACTTTTTTT